ATCTAACTACATGTTTAAAACATCATCATCAAAAGAACAACTTAATTTTTATTTTAAATTTGATTCAATAAGCGATGATAATGATGAAACTTCTGAAATTTCAAATAAAAATAACTGTAAAAATATTTTATACATAAAAGAAAAAAAAAAAGATTTTTTTTCGTTCTTTATTTAGATACATCAATATTATTTAGTGAATCAAATTTAAAATCACATATAAATCAATTCGAAAAATATTATGATCAATCTTAAAAAATAATCCTTTTTTTTTACATGATTCAACATGTAAATTATATTCAGAAGATCTTATTCCATTATATATAAAAGATAATGAAGAAATTAAAAAAAGATTTGGTATACATTCATATTCACTAGATTTTTATCAATCTAATCAAAAATCAATTGTATTAAATAAAGAACAAAAGACAAAAGCTGTTCGTTAGTGGTAAAACAACCCGTTCAAGTGAAGAGTCAGGTGACAATATGTTATCAGGCATGCATAGTGCCAATCCGAGCTGCTAACAGGCTAGTCTGCCAGATGAGTTGAATTTTGACATTCTAGCCTGATCTGATGTATTCATACTATATTGAAGCAGGCTAACAGACTAGATCAGTGCCAAATTATTGGCCTGATTGAAGTCTTTTTTGAGTGAGAAATGTTTATGACAATATGTGTTCTGTATTAATTTGCTATCATGTACAACAAATTATGATTGAGTTTTCGTTATGAAAATAGAAATAAATTGTTGACACTAGAATAATATATCAATATAAAGTTATGTGATGCATTGGATTTGAAAAATTAGACAGATCAGTCGGGTCGGTTGGTTTCTGCTCGCCTGGCAGGCTAGCCTGTTGGCAGCTCTGATGCCAATATTTTTTGATACTCTCATCGTAGTTTATAGCGTTGGACGACTGTTAGTTAAAATTTTTGTTAACTATTTTTTTCTTCTTTTTTCTTTGTTGCTCTATCCTACTAATGACAGATACCATACACATATAATTATATATGTCCTTCTTCTATATTCTTTCCTTTTTTTCACCATGAGGTATTTTCTAAACCTTTCTCTCCTTTTGTTATGGCTACATCATTTTCCCTCAAGCTTTTTTTTCAACTACGTTTGGTTTTTCCTAGTTCTTCAGTCTGTATTCAAAATGATCATTTTGAAAAATTAAAAAAAGCGTTCATTATCGATCAAAATCTCCGCTAATAGTCTGATTCACGTTGAGCATTTTTTCCCAATTTATATCGTTTCTGCTTAGTTCTGACCGTTTTCCACATATATTTTTTCTTTCAAGTTCATAGGTGATGGTAAATGACATACAATTAAATGAAGTATAGCTTCGTTGATTGGAAGCCAAGCATTCATGACATTGAACAGAATTCTATCAACGTCATATTTTTCTGTATCAAGCTTTTCAGATGGCAATTGAATATGAACTTGAGTCAACAATTTTCTAATGTGATCTGGTTTTAGATTGGCGCAAGCAAAGATCATATCCTGAATAGGTTGAATCACATATCTAGTGAAACCTCGCTTCATATCTAGATTGGCGTAATGTGCACTATTCTGATTGCCATTGATTCACTTCTTATGTATCGACGAATAGAACATATCGCGCCATAGTAGTTTGATGCACCTTTCTTCGGATGTGGCTGTGTTCTGATTGAGCACAAGCATTCGAGCAAACTGCGGCAAAGTAAACGCCGAACCATGTTTGCCTGACGCGAAACCAACATTACCCCTCTTGGGATTAAAGTATTCGTGAGTATTCTGATGGGTGGCCACAACTGCGTTACATCTGGCGATGATCTGTACGAATCTTCGATAAATTTCTTCTGAATTTAATAACTCTAAGAGAATGCATCGACCAACTCGATTAATGATTAATATTAATTGAACTTGTTCGCTGAGCGCCTGTTGAAAAACGTTTTCAGTTTCAGCAGTTACGCCCGCGACAGCATCGACAACGAGCAGAGCACCAACGGCATCATGTAGAGTCGTGAAGGTATCGATTAAGTCAACGGAAACCTCATTACTGTCTTGTTGAAGATTACCTTCAACAAATACTTCCATTTTCTTTTTGGTTTGACACTGAACTTACCGAATGCTTGATCGTTGAATTGGAAGAGCAGGCTTGATGAATCGGGAACCTTGCGTGCTTTATTTGCAACGACATTAACCAGTGTTGTTTTTCCACTTTGGTGGTCTCCAATCACATACACCTGACGAATATTATTGAGCTTTGACATAAATTTTATAAGCTGGTGTAGCGTCACAAGTAGTTATGCGAGAACTCAGAATGAGTGAATCAAACAATCAAGTTTGCACTCAACAGGCAAGTGACGCAGTCAATTGCTGCTATTGCCGTAACTATGACATAACAGACGAATTTGGTGTAATTACGCAAAGAACAAGAAAAGATGTAGTAGTGAGTACGTACATTCGTTAGTAAAGAACAAGGACAACATCATTGCAAAAACAAGCTTACACTGAACTCATTTTCATTTTTCATGAAGTAACATGGCAAGAGTGGCGGGGTGTTCGCCAATAAGACATTCGCCAATGGCGAAAGTCCTGAGGGTATATTGGCGAAAGTACAGTAGACTTTCGCCAATTGGCGAAGTTCCAGAGACCATATTGGCGAAAGTACAGTGGACTTTCGCCAATTGGCGAAAGTGAGATGGACTATCTCAGTGGTCACGGAACAATATTAATAAAGGATATGTGTCAGCGCTGGAGTTAATGTTATTAGAATATATATGGGGTTGGCCAGTCTGGCCGGATATCCCTATGCCTTTTTCCGTCATTCAGTTTCTATGATATATCAGAAAAATCTAATTTTTATAATAGTAATAGTACTTGCATAATGCTAATGATCTGCCACGGCTAGGAAGTTTATGTCTTGGTTCAAATCACAATCATTAAGTGTGTTTAGAATTATCTGTTGGTAAATATCAAAAGGCTTTGAAAGATGCTTTATCGATTTCCTTTCAAACAAGGGATAAATTGTTTCTCTTTGGCGGATCATTAGCATTATATGAGTATTATAACTAGCAAAAAAATCAGATATTTCTGACATATTATAGAAACGGATTGATTAAAAACGGGATTGGGACATCCGGTCAGACTGGCCAACCCCATATATCATAGTTTACACTCATCGATGTAGGTGAAAAGAAATTTTTTAGTGTACGTCTAATTTACAATGAAATTGCTGAAAGCTCACTGTACTTTCGCCAATTGGCGAAACTCCACCGAACGTATGGCGAAAGTACTGTGGACTTTCGTCAGTTGACGAAATTCCACGGGATGCTTTGGCGAAAGTACAGTGGACTTTCTCCAATGGCGAAAATCCCATTGGCGAAAGTCTTATTGGCAAAATTCCGGAACCCCCATGACAACAGTACTCATCTTCCAAATTCTGCAGTTCATTCGGCATTTTTTTGTATACTTCACGATATTTGAAACTTTTATAATAATCATTGAAATCCGTAAAATTTGTTGGACATGTGTATTGGTAGAGGGGTCGCAAGTTATCCAGTCAACGAAAGTTTACTGTTCGTCTAAAAGCAAAAGTAATCAAGATATATGTAGAATGTCCTAAAATATGCATACATTTTGTTTTTCTAAATTTCTTCTATATTTATTTATAATTGAATTTCATATTTCCAGCAGATATATCATAGACAGTAGATCTAAGCTAAGCAGTGCATCATTCGTCTTTGGTTGCAATTCTTTACTGCAACACTAGCTAAGATAAAATGTACGATGCGGATGTGGTACAGATTAGACCTACACGCACACCCACTGAAAGAGAATAAAGTTGCTATTAAGAACATTATAACCTGCTCCAGTATTACATAATGTGCTCAACGGTGATATTGACTAAGGAGTCTTTTGTATAATGACTAAATGCTCCAGTCCAAGGATAAACGCTTGGTGGAAATGATTTTTTTTTTAGTAAAAATATTTCTGATTTTCAAGGCGGTAAATTCATTGAAGGATAATTGTTTTGAGTCTTTCAATTTAATCATTAATCAATGAAGAAACTATCTTTTTCAGAATTATGAGCCCAGAAATCTCTTCTTTATATTGTCTCACAACAAGAAAACTACAAAATGGTACCGATCATTGTTTTTTATCTACGTTTGAACTATACATACTAAAAATTATGAAACAATTACAGTTCTAGTCTTGTAGATTCTAAATTCTGCATACATTCAAGAACCATGGGTCCTGAAAGATCTTTTTAAATTGCGAAACTGGAGTCGGTGAAAGACATTGTTAATTGGAAGAAAAAAAACTACTTTTGTATATCCTTATGTCTGATATATGAATATAAGAAGACGCTCGAACTATCAATAAGTCAAATCATTCATGTAGATTATTAACAAAGAGAAAGTCGATTGTGCAGTTCATTACTCTCAAAACTTCAAGAACTGCTTTAAATTTTAGAAGCAAAAAATTCAATTGGTGGTGTAACTAAGAAAAATGATCTGAGTCTTCATTCATCAATCGATACCATGCAAATTAAAGTCAACTAAAAGCTGTTTCATCAGTATTAACTCTAAAAGATGACGTTAGTTTTCATCATTTTTTCTGACTTCTATCGTTTATTTCCTATTGGTCGTTTGACTTTTCCTATTAGTAGAACAAAAAAAAAAAATCTCAAGCTTACAACTGAATAATACGTGAAAAAAAATGCGGAAGGAAGGAAAAGAAAAATCTTCGCGAAACAAGAGCTTCTCTAGACTATTTATTTCGCCTATATCTATTCAGAAGATGAACATCGATTGACGACATTGTATTCTTATATTAAAAAAAAAAAAATAGTCATTGTTTTGTAAAGTCTTTCTATTTTTTTTCTTCTTTTGCTGAATATTCATAAACAAAAAAAAAATAATGATCGTTAATCTCTTTGTTTTGTCTTTTTATTATGCTAATATTTTAACTGGTTGAGATTGTTTATTATAAATACATATATATATAGATCAAATGCTTGAACTTGCTCAAAGTTTAATATTGAATGAAGAAGCACTTAATAGTTTACCAGAAAATAAGCGACCTGTATTTATTTATGAATGGCTTTGTTTTTTAAATAAAGTACTTGTTGCTGCTCAAAAGGTAAATTTCAATATATAGATTTTCATATTAAAAAAAAAAAAACAAAACATTTTTTTTTCTTTATTTTCTAGAATGATATTCGTGAATGTCAACCACGTATTGTTGAACAACTTATGCAACAAGTTCAATATGCACCTGGTCCACCAATACGAACATTAATAGGTCGAAATTTAGCAACATTATTTAGTGTTGGAGATCCATTTCCATTATTTAATACAATTAATCGTTGTAATGATACATTAAAATCAAAAGATGAAACTGCTAAATTGTAAATAATATTATATATATTTGATTTTGAAATAGTTTTTTTTTTTTTTTTAAATAGAGCTACTGTTGTTGTTATTGGTGCACTTTATGAACGTCTTGGTCGATTAGTTGGTCGTTCATATGAAGAAACTGTTCAATTGTTACTTAAAACATTAAAAAATGGTGATTCTCAAATGCGTTTTGAAATTATGTTTACATTTGAACGTATTATTAATGGACTTGGTTCAGCTGGTAATAATATTCATCGAGAAATATTTAAAGTTGCTAAAACTTATATATGTGATCGAGCAATGCCTGTTCGTTCAGCTGCTGCAATGGTATTAATTTAATATATCAAAAATTCAAAAGATAAACAAAAGAGTTTTTTTTTGTTCTCTAATTGAATCATATATCATTTTCGAAAGAGCTATCGATGTAAGTAAGAAAAACTTGCATCGATAGCTCTTTTTTTGATAATGTATGATTCAGCTAGAAAAAAAAGAAAAGAAGTTTTTGCTTATCTTTTTGAATTTCCAACAAAATAATTTTAATTTTTAGTGTCTTATTGCATTAATTAATCAAAATAATTTTATGTATACAAATGAATTAGAAGGAAATGTAACATTAGGTTTTCGTGCACTTGATGGTTCAAATTATGAAGTACGTTGTTCAATAGCAAAATATTTAGCAGCATTATTAGCTGCAACACAAGAAACAACTTTAAATCAAAATCAAAGTAAAAATAATAAAGAAAAAAAAAATATAATTTCAAATTGAATTATTATTAGATACAATGAATAAATCGAATGTTAATGTAACAAATATGAAAAAAATTAAAACAGAAGATTTATTAAATTATTTAGCTAGTGGATTTTTACGTGGAAATATTGGATTTTTAAAATCAAATACAACTGAACGTATTAAAGGACCAACAACAGTTCAACGTGAAATACGTATTGGTGTTACTCATGTAAAAAAAAAAAAAGAAAATTCAATTTTTTTTATTTTTTAAAAACTTTGATTTTTAAAAAATTTATTTAGACTTATGTTGAATTAGCTCTTGTATTTGGTACATCATGGATTGAACAAAATTTATCTTTATTTATAAATCATATACTTGAATTAGCTGGAAATCCACGTGCATCAACATCACATGTTGATGCTGTTTATTCACGTAAATGTATTACATTTATACTTCGTTCAGTTATTGGTTCACGTCTTGGTGAAAAAGCACAATTTGCTGCTGCAAAAGAATATGCAACAATTATAACACGTTATACAACACCACAATTAATAACAAATAATATAAATTCATCAACAAATGATTTACAAATGTCAACTGGTTCATCATCACTTAATTCAAGTACAAATTCAATGGTACAATCATATGTATCATCATCAACAAATACATTTGAATCATCATCATCATCATCATCATCATTAAATAATGAATATATACAACATATACTTATATGTGCTTTACATGAACTTAGTTTACTTGTACAAAGTCTTGGAACATCAACATCATTATTATTACAAGATAGTTGTAATGGTTTAGTTGATACACTTTTTTTAGTTATACTTAATCCATCACATAGTGTAAGATTATCAGCTGCATGGTGTCTACGTTCGATAACAACAGCATTACCATCACTTATGACACCATTAATTGATCGTTGTCTAGATAAAATGAAAACTTTAGCAAAACAAACAACTTCTTATAATACAGATGCTATGTCAGGTTTTGCACTTGCTTTACAAGCATTACTTGGAGCTGTTTATCGATGTCCATTAGGTTAGTTAATCTTTCTGTAAAGGAAAGAGTATGTCAGATTGTAATGTATATCTTTTTACATTCTTACTTTTTTATGCATAGAAAAAGAATGACAAGTTCCATACATAGAAAAAATTGTCATCTATTTATAGAAGTACTTTTTTTTTTTAAGGTAATAATACAAAATTTTAATATAAAGAAAAGGATTCTACACCTTCATATATTCTTTCAAATAAAGAAAAAAGTAATTAACTACAATGGAAGCTCCTTGGAGAATTGTGTGATGTGCAATCATAAAATAATAAATAGTGAAAAAGTTTTTAGTGAGAAAAAACATATTTTTCAAGTTGAAAGTAATGGAAATTATCAAAAATTTTAGCAAAAAAAAAGATGAAGTGTTAAAGAAATGATCATATGGTTGATGAAAGAATAGGTCTCAGATTATTATCTTAATTTCGATTTTTCTAAAGAAAATGAACTTTTTTTTTTAATGAGATCTTTAAAAATTTATCAGCAAATGGCATATATATATTTGTTTTATTAATTTGTCATATAATAAAGGAAATCATTTCAACCGATCATTCGCTTTTTTATTTTAATGAAATCTAATGAATTATCAATCATGCTAATTCCGGATATGAGTATAGAAAATTCCCTAAGGTATTCATAAAGATAACTTTTTTTTTAGATGAAGAAACATTTTACCAAAAATTTTTTTAACTATGCAAATTATAAAAGCATGTCGATTTACGAACAAAAAAATACACTTATTCTAATTCATGCAATAGATAAATATTATCATTTGAATTTAAAATCTATGATTAGAAAAAGAACAAAAGATTTTCATTTAATATACAACTTGATCTGTTCTATAAGTTGCACAGATCAAAGAAAAAAAAACAAAGATTTTTTTCTACTCTGAAAAATTATTACATAAAAGAGAATTTCTCATACTCATATCCAAAACTGAAGAAAGATGGATGTAAGCTCTATAACGACAGCAACTAGCAATCTATTTAGTTTTTAGCTATCTAAAGAGAATAGTTTCGAGATGTCTTGTTCTTCTGATTGTTGAAAATCGTAGATTGTCAATTGTTTTCGAGAATTATTGATAAGAAAGCGATTGATTAATTAAAATCAACAATAATGATTAGTTCAAAAATTAAATCATAACATTAATCTAATAAATATATTATTAATTGATTTTTTGTTCGATAGGTATTCCATCACAACGTGCTAAAACAATATTTGATTTTGCTGATGATCTTCTTCGTACAGCAACAACATCAATAGCTGGTCAACAACAATCATTAGTACCACGTGTTATATTACAACGTACACATACAGCATGGCATTTACTTGCTGCATGTTGTACACTTGGACAACAGATTATAAAAAAATTTGTACCACGTTTAGTTCTTCTATGGCGTAATGTATTTCCACGATCACAAACTGATTTTGAACAAGAAAAACAACGTGGTGATTCATTTACATGGACATTATCATTTAATCAACGTTCAGGTGCACTTTGTTCAATGATATCATTTTTAAATAATTGTTCAACAGGTGATGATCAATTAATAACAGATGATTTACTTAAACGTATGTTAAATCCAATTGAAAATGCAATACTTGTTCTATTACATATACCAAATTTAATAAAACAATTTGGTCCACAATTAAAAGCATCAACAGCTATGTTTCGTTTACGTTTATATGAACTTCTTTTACTTATACCAATTAAATTTTATGAACAACATTTTAAAGTTTTATTACGAGAATTAGTTGCTGAATTTACATTAACTGATAATTCATCAAATACAACAACATCTTTACTTCGATCTGTTTGTCATGATAATGATAGTGTTTTACTTGGTAAGAAATTAAAGAATTTTAAAAAAAAGTACAAATTATCAAATACTTAGTGATCTGAGTGTAATTTTTTCTCAGAGTTTCCTTGAACTTGAACATCGCTTGATGTATTGTAAAGATGATAGGACTTCTAAATTATTTTATTTTATATATTCTCAAACAAAAAAATACGATCGGAGTACTTCTCTTCAGATTGTTTGCTAACCGCAGATTGTTAACTATTGTAATTTTCGAACTACTAAGCTTAAATCTACTTTTCTTTTTTTTCTACCAATTGAAAAATTTTCATTTGTTGATTTTTTTAATAATTAGGTAATTGGCTTCAAGAAACTGATTATCAAATGATTGAAGAACAACTTCAACCAAATTCTGCTAGTGGTTCAGGTGCACTTGAACATGATGAAACATATCTTTATCGTCGTGATACATCATTAATATCTTTTAATATAATAAATTATCTTTATCGTTCATCATCAACAACAGATAATAATTCAAGTAATGCATATTATTCACGTCCAGCTGAATTAAATATACCTGGTCCATTACCATTAGGTGTTGCTGTTATTGATGCATCAATACTTCTTTATGGTACAATGTTTGTACGTGTACCAAATAAACATCGTTTAAATATGTTACAACATTTTATTGATATAATTAAACAATCAAAAGGTATAAGACAAGAAGCTGTACAAGTAAATATATTTACAGCTGTTTTAACATCATTAAAAACAATAGCTGAAACAAAACAATCATCATCAATGGATGATGAAAATGTTAAAAAATGTGCATGTACACTTGTTATGCAAACATTAAGTCATCAAAATCCAATATTACGTTGTGCAGCTGGTGAAGCACTTGGCCGTTTAACACAAGTTGTTAGTGATGGACGTTTTGTTGCTGATATAGCACAAATATGTTTTGATCGTCTTAAAGAATTTCGTGATATACCATCACGTACAGGTTATTCATTAGCACTTGGTTGTTTACATCGTTATGTTGGTGGTATGAGTACAGGACAATATTTAAATTTATCTATATCAATACTTCTTGCACTTGCACAAGATCAATCAGCATCAATTGTACAAGTATGGGCATTACATGCATTAGCATTAATTGCTGATTGTGGTGGACAAATGTTTCGTTCATATGTTGAACCAAGTTTAGCACTTATATTACATCTACTTCTTTCAATACCACCATCACAATCTGATGTATTTCAATGTTGTGGTCGTTTACTTGGTGCTTTAATTATAACAATTGGTCCTGAACTTCAAACAAATACAAATTATATATCAATATTACGTTCATCATGTTTAACAGCATGTAGTCTTTTACAAATGCATATTGAACCAATTGTTCAAGCTGAAGCTATACAAGCATTACAACAATTACATTTATTTGCACCACGTCATGTTAATTTATCAAATTTAGTACCAGAATTAATTAAAGCATTAAAATGTCGAGATCTATCATTAAGACGTGCATGTGTTTCATGTTTAAGACAATTATCACAACGTGAAGCTAAAGAAGTTAGTGAACATGCTAAATTATTTATGAAAGATAAAGCACAAGATTTAACAATTGGTCTTTCAGAATTTCGAAGTCTTGAAGGTTATATATTTATTTTTGTTTTATAATAATAATAAAGATGTTTCATATTTTTAGAATTACTTTTTTCTATGCTTGATACAGAAACAGATGCAAAATTATGTTCAAATGTACAAGATACACTTGTTTATATGCTTCAAGCATTAGGTGCAAATAATTTAACACATTGGTTACAATTATGTAAAGATGTTCTTGCTGCTACAACAGGTAATAATATAGTAGATATGTTAAATATCTTATATATATCCATGGCTGACATCACGGAGTGAGATATTGATAGCAAATATCGTTTGTTTGATGAAACATGATCTAAATATCATGGGATTAGTATGTTAGTTGTCCGTTATTTTTCTTTCATACTCACTACAATATATTGTAATTAACAGTTGGTAGAAATTTGTAAACTGAAGTGTATATTAACTAATCCCTTTTTCTAATATATCATATTTATATGACAATTTTCTTACGAATAAAAACTTTGATTAATCTTCCATCATTCATTAAAACTAGAAGTATGATCAATTAAATGAGACTAGAAATATGCAATTTTTTTTTTATTATCCCAAACTATATAAAATAATTTTCGTCTGATATTTGTATTATCTAGAAACATCTGGTATGGGAACAAATTCTGAAACTGATCAACAACAACAACAACAACAAACTTCAAGTTCAACAACAACAGCAACATCATCGTATTCAAAAACATCTTCACGTATTAATACTGATGATGATGAAGATAGTTTTGGTCTTCAGGATGATGATAATGATTATGCTGATACAGGTGGTGATGAACAATTACATACATCTAATAATCAAAATACAATACGTCGTGCAACATCATCAGCTAAATGGCCAACAAAAGTATTTGCAGCTGATTGTGTACAAAAATTAATAATTTATTGTGAACAAACAACATCATCAAATTTACATTTTAATTATATATTAGCTAAAGAACGTCGTCGTACATATCCAAATGAAGATTATCTTGTTATACATTTAAATACATTAATTACATTTTCATTTATGTCATGTACATCAACAAGTGATCAATTACGTTTATCAGGTTTATCATTACTTAAACAAATAATATTAAAATTTTCAAATATACAAGAAGATATTGATTTACCAGATCATGTTATCCTTGAACAATATCAAGCACAAGTTGGTGCTGCATTACGACCAGCTTTTTCACAAGATACATCATCACATGTAACAGCACAAGCATGTGATGTATGTAGTACATGGATATCAAGTGGTGTTGCACATGATTTAAATGATTTAAGACGTGTACATCAATTACTTGTATCATCATTACAAAAATTTACATCAATACAACAACATAAAAATGATATATCAATGATTTATAGTGAAAATGCATTAACAATTGAAAATTTAGCTGTATTACGTGCATGGGCTGATGTTTATAATGTTGCAACAATACGACAAAATGAAGAAAAAAATAATCCAAATAGTAATTTATTAATACTTGTACAACCAGAATTAAATGTTCTTATACATCATTGGCTTGCAGCATTAACAGATTATGCTTTTTTAATTTTACCAAATGAATTTGGTGGTAATAATATTGATGAAAATTTAAATGGTGGAAATTTTTATTCAGCTGAATCAAATATTGATTTAACACGTACAATATATAAAGCTAATTGGTCTTCAATTATGCAAGCAACAACACAATGGCTTAGTGAACATCATTATGAACTTGAAACATTAGCTGCTAATCAAAAACATATTGGTTATAGACAACGAGATATATTAATGACAAAATTTATAACATCAACATTATCAAATAAAATACGAACATTTCCAGAAAAAAAAGAAGATATTTTTTTTATGTTATTAGGTTGTTGTATTGAAGCACTTTCAATATCAATATCGGAACAAACAGAAGAAAATATTGAATCAATTTTATCTTCATTAATTAATTTACTTCAATCAGATATAGCTATAAATCAGATAACAATGATTGTTTGTATTGAAATACTTAATGTTTTACAACGGTAATTAAAATTGAACTTCTTTCTTTTTTTTTTACAAATTCTTACTTACATATAGTTAAGTTTTATTTTCATCGAGACTATCTAGTATATCTAATTATCGGTTTTGTCTATAAACTTCATAGACAAATATTAATGAAGTATTTAATCTGAAGTTTTTCTTCAGATGATTGATAATCAATAGTCCATGATTTATGCTGTCTAATACGTCCTATTTGTCAAATCAATTAGTATAAAAGACTACTCGACAAACATTGTTCTTGATTTAATAACTGCCAAATGTGCGAAGACAACTTTGTCTTCACCTTGAATAACATCTGGAATGAATATACATTGAACTTTCAAGGTCTAAGTTCTTTTCTATTAGGTACATTCAAATAGAATGTACTTTTCGAAAAGACTTCATTCTCAAAAATTGTCTCAAGTTTTCACTTAATCAATAGATTCAATCGTTGTAGATTTAATTTAAGAAAAATATTCAAACGATGAATTATAATTAATTTGTTGTTTCTCTTTTTTTTGTTTTTTCTTAGTCTTCATTTTGTTCGTACTGATATAAAAACTCATTTACATATATTAAAAATCGTTGATAAAATTTTTCATATTATTCCATCATGTACACAAATAATAACAAATGTTAATGAAGATCATCTTATACCAGGCGAATCATTTTTATTTGCATCATTAGAATTACTTGTTTGTGTTCTATTAAGTTATTATCCAAATATAGCTGGTGATTTACAATTAGGTACAATATTTCAAATGAAATTATCTATGAAAACAAATTCAGATAATCAAAAAATTAATGAATTAATTTTATTAAATATTAAACTTCTTAGTGAACTTATTACATTATCAACGACAAATGAAAGTAAAATATTAATTATTATTATTATTTTTTTTTTGTTATTAAAAAAAAAAAAAGAAATATAAATTCTATTAATTTAGGTCTTCAAGCATTAATACCAGTTATTCTTCATTTATTATTATCAATAAGTTTTGTACTTCTTTCAACAAAAACTGATGATCAAAAACAATTATTATCAACTATAAGTCAATTTATTGAAAATATTTTTTCAACAAATATTGATAAAAATATTTTATATTGTACAATAATTACAATTATTAATTTAAGAACAAATTGTAAGAATATTTTTCAAAATATAATTACATTACTAATCAAAAGTATTCTTCTATATCCTCTTGAATTTCAGTTACTTTCAAGAGCTTTGACTCTATATATTTGTATGTATATAATTATCAATGAATGTAGGTTAACAAAAAAAAAAGACTAACGTCATGATTGCGTGTAACACAAGATAGTATAATACATGCTGTCTATCTCTCTTGTGAATTTCATAATTTAGGAAGGAAATAACATAATAAGTCGAGAAGCCCTGCACTTGTGATAGTACTAAACTTTAGCTATATGTGATAAAAATTTCATTGACATTTATTGAACCATTGTGAAACTAAAATCATATTTAGTTTCTGTAAAAGAATCTAACTGTATTTATTTATTTAATTAAAAAAAAAAAACTTGTCAATAATCTTTGTGATGATGTTTGATCAGGATGAGTGCGAAAAGAGTATCAAACTTCACTCATTTTTTTTTCAATTTAGCTTTAATGACAAAAAACTTCAGAGAACAATGTCGAAAAACATTTTCTATAAGTTTGAAGTCAAACATTTACTGAACTATGACTAATACAATGAGATCCGGATGGGTTTTTTCTCCCATAGATCAATACTTAAAGTAAAGCGATCTTAGCACTACAACGACTCATGGATTTTCTCCTTATGTTTATCGATAATTATATACTCGAGTCACATATCTTGTAGTGATTGACAAGCAAAACAAGGAATACTTTTGATAAGTCGTTTTGTATATATTCTTTAATATTTTTTTTTTCTCGTTCCAGTAATAAATAAAGGTTTTTCTGATAATGGACATTTTGTTCAATGTCTTACATCATTAATTATTAATTCAACATCAATTGATTTAACAAATGAATGTATAGATTTTTATCGAAAAGCATTTAATGATGAAAAACATGAAGTAAAAAAAAAACAAGAAATCGAAAATTATTTAATAAATTCTAAATATTGTTTTCTTTTTTTTTCTTCTAATAATTTAGACTCGTATTCGTATATTTCAATGTATTAATCAATTATTTCAATGTACAAATATTGCAATACGTAATCAATTTATACAAATATTTACACCATTATTATTAAATGAATTAAAAAAATATAATGAAGATCAACAACAAGAATATATTATTGAAATTTTAAAATGTTTTGAAACACTCTTAACGATGGTTGATTCAACATTACGTATGTTAAATTTTAGTTTATTTTGTAAATATTCAAATAGAGCTATAAAGAAAGCTTTAAGACGCAGGACTTTTAAATCTAGTCTTTACTGTTAAGTGAAACAAATTTGTTTCTCATAGATCCAACGCCGTATATATTTAATAATATAATAGACATTTGCTACTTCAATTATTCGAAATAGTTCGTTAATTGATAGTAAATGTATATAGCAAACAAAAGTACTAGTACATCAATATGACCTTTTCTAAATCATATAATAGAGATGAGATAGTTTCGATTCGAAAAAAAATGATTCCATCTCTGATGTATAAAGTGTAGGAATGATAATTTTTGGAAATTATCTATGAAAACGTTAAACCTTTATAATCGCCTTAAAATGTAGTACTCTGTTCATTGCGATAATTTTTGATATGTGATAGAGATCGTCTTACATGGAAACTGATCTAACCGTAACCCATCGTTTGATCTCATATTGAACCTATAATGAGGTCTAGAAAAAGTCCAAAAAAAAGGTTCGTTTCTATGGTTCTTCCGAGCCAACTTATGATTGTTTTACTGAGTCTTCAATTCAACTTTAAGTACATATCGAAAATCAAATTACAAAATTTCGACGAAAAATTTTGCCCATAGATAAGAAGGGTTACCGGAAGTTCGCCAATTGACGAAAGTACAGTAAACTTTCCCCAATTATCACGAAATAATATTAATACAGGATACATGTAAGAGTTGAAGCTACAGTCTGTCGAATTCAAGAATTTCTGGAGTCGAACCCGATTGATGGATCTTTTAAGAGAAAAATTGAAAGAAATTCCAAAAAGATTATTATTTACATGAGATATTTCTTTGGATCTCGATCCGATCAGTAAAATTTTCCGAACTCGGACACGAACTCAGTCATTACAAACCTTTCAGACCCACAACCGATTGGGTTCGGGTCCTAGTAGATCTAACGGGCTCTAGCTGGAGCTAATATTGTTAGAATGTTTATCATAGCTTACACTCATCAATATAGCCGACAGAAATTTTCGAATCTATATCTAGTTCGCAGTCAAATTGGCGAAAGTCCACTGTACTTCCACCAATTGGCGAAAGTACGGTGAACCTTCGCCATTGGCGAGTCCTATTTAGTGAAGTTCCGGAATCCCGATAAGAATATTCCTTAATAGTGAAAATCTGGAATTCCTAAAAAAAAATGTCGGCTGTCAGACATTCGACTTATCCATAAACAAAATTCTATTATAAAAATTAAACAATTAATATTCTTATGTTTTTTTTAGGTATCCGTTTGGCATCCTTAATCATTCCATTATTTATTAATTTTCTTCCTGATTCCACAATATCTTTACAAACAATAAATTCTTCAAATATACGTTTAATATCTTATATAATCGAACGTATACAATATTTAATTCCAATATATTCAAATGAATTTCGTATTATTCTTCAAACATTACCTGATCTTCGAACAAAACTTGAAAATGCTATACGTCGACAACAACAATTTAAACAACTTCAACAACAACAAAAAGATGAAAAAGAATCATATTATTTATCAAAACATTATAATATTTCATTAAATACATCATCACAAACACCTTCACTTCCACTTCGTATTGATTTTTCAAATTTTAAATCATCATAAAGAGTTTTTTTTTTTCTTTTTCTTTTTTCAAATTTCAGTATCGAACTAAATATAATATACATATATGTATATCTAGTCGATAACTATCTTCTATTAAACAGTGACATGATTATAATATTTCATGTGCATATTTTTTTTCTTCGTCTTCTCTTTATGTAGCTTTATTTTATTCTAAATCTCACTTTTCTTTTCTTTTTTTTTTTCATTTTACTGTCATACAAAAATAATGATTGATTTGAACAATTTAATCAAAAATTGATTTATTTAGCAATGATCACATAAACAAATTTGTTTAGATCATATCTTGTTTTTCTAAATTCTTTTTTACAAATGTATGTAGTCAAATAGAGCAAATAACAGAAAGTAAGACAAAAAAAAAACAAAAAAAAGAAAAACTTTAATGAATTGTAAATATACAATAGTTGATACAAATATCATAAAAATCTAATGTATAAGTATTATTTCATATTCACTTCTTATAGGATCGATAGGACATTATTGGATAATAACCAAGAGCTTGTTTACCTTGATTATGATCCTAAAAGAGAAATAAAAAAAACGAATGCTATGATTAGATCATAATAGGAAAGTAAATTAATCAAAAAATCTATGAAGTATCATAAAGCAATGTTTTTTTTTTAACGACAAAAAGATAATGTCATGATGTTCTACATCAATAAATGGATAAATTTTATCATGTTAGGTGCGTTTTTTTGATTTATGAACTTTTATATTGATTTTCTGGATTAACTTCAAAATCGATTTTTAAGTTGAAAATTTACATAAATAATATTTTGAATGAGATAAATACATTTTGAAGTGTTAGATTGTTTTAAGTATTTCGTATTCTCTTATATATTGTTATTGAAACAAAGTTTGCTGTTTTACTTAAAAAGTATTTTCAATATTGACATATAAAAATAGAAGATATCAGACGCTTTGATACTTCACTATGAGAACTTTATTTATGCAAAATTTTAATCCGAAAATGAAAATCAGAATTAACATCTGTCGAGCGCAACAAATTTAAAAATCAGATCTCCGAAAACTATTTTTATTAATACTTATAGTTTAATCTTTACTTTATGAATGATTGATGGAGCATGACCATTATTGACAGGATAATGTGAAAATGCTGAAGCACCTGATACAGGAGGTAGAAAAGGTTTTGGACTATTTTTAGTTGTTTGTCGATGTTTTCGTGTTTGATATGGTAAAACTTTAGTTCCTATTGTTGATAAACTACTATAATAAGATTGTGTTTGATTATATTGAGAAAAACTATTTTTAGTTTTTATATTATTAGGATGTTGCATAGATGATTTTTTTATTGATTGTCCTTGAAGTCGTGTATCTATTAATGATTGAGCTTTTGCTGGTGGATAAATAAGCTATAGAAGAAGAACAACAACAAAAAAAAAATATATATTCAAAATTTAATTTAATAGATTATATATATATATACTCTATTTAAATCAGGTTTGATTATTGGAGTATGATAGATAGTAGAAGTATTATGATTATTATATTCTGATGGTGAAATTTCTTCATTAATACTTGATTTACTACTACTTGAATCAGATCGTTGATATTGATCTTCACTTGTTTTTACTATTCGTGCACCATTCTCCCATTGATTCATACCATGTTCATTCATGTGTTCATTTTCTTGATTTCTATTTATTAAAATTTTATATCTTCTTTGTGTTTCTTTTTTTCTTTTTTTTTAAAAATTAATTACCGAATAGTATCGAAATAAGGATGTCGAAGTGCTTGTGAAGCTGATATACGATGATCAGGATCATAAGTACATAAATGATTAAGTAGATCAATAGTATCAGCTGAACAATGAGTTAAATGACGAGCAATACCCGTACCACGTCGAGAAGGAAAATTAAAATCAACTGCTGAATTTCGACTAAAAAAATAATAATAATAATATACACTAGAATATTTTATAATGTAAACAAAAAAGAATTTCAAAACATTGTAATAGACATTAACATGATAGTTTTTCAGTTATGAACTAAAATTTCATTTCATGTTTTAATTTTCTCAATATCATCGATATACAAATCAACAAAAATATTATTAAACTCATGTTGTCAATTTTTCATCAAAATTAGTCTATATCCATAAATTTCCGGTACTTTCGCTCCGGAAAGACACTATTTCCCATCGGAAAACTCATGAAAAAAGAGTGAGAAGTTCGAAGCAGAAATCCTATAGCCGGATTCTTCTAGTTCCCATCATAGTCAGCGAACTGATTCTTGCTATCAAGTTCCTATCATTTGCTAGAGTTATCTAGCACTTGTACCTTGTCCTGAACAATGACTATTAATGTATCACTATCCTTAATAAATAATCAAACTCGAAAACAATCGATATAGTTTGAAATTGAAAGAAACTCAAGTAGAAGAATCACAGTTAACCGGACAAGTAAGCGACGATATCTGCAATATGTGAACAATCAAAAAAACTTTATTTTGATCTGTTTTTGAGTATTTTCTTTTATTGATCTAATTCATATTTCATATTAGCAAATAACTTACTGTTGAAATTTATCCAATGTACTAGGTGATGGTGTACCTACTACCTCATGAATTTTACTTATTTGATCAAGTTCATTACTTCCTGGAAATAATGGTCTTAGTGTAATGATTTCAAACATAACACAACCTTTGAAGCAAAAAAAAAAATTATATTATCAATGTAGAAAATATTAAAATTCTATAATTAATTTACCAGCAGACCAAATATCCATTTCATGTCGATAATATCCATCTGTTAGTAAACATTCAGGTGCTCGATACCTATATTAAATAAAATACTAAGATATATATTATGATCAAAAATTTTTTTTGTTTTTGATACTTGAAAATAGTTCAAGTCTGAATAACAAAAAAAAACAAAGAAGCCTTTTCATTGTAAAAAGTGTTGTTCGTATTTAACTTATTGAATTATATTATTACACTATCCTAGTTTATAGTACAAGTTCGAATGGATTTTTTTTTAATTTCATTCATTCAAATATGATTTGATCGTAAAGCTTGACGAATTGATCAAGAATCTAGCGTTTTTTTTTTAATAGAAAAATGTTATTTATATGGCTTGTAGCACGTCTTATAAGACATGTTGAAATTATTTATATCAGACGCGCAATAGTTTAAATCTAATTAACATTCGATATTTAGGTTTTGATGGTGAAATGAAAATAAAGTGTTTTCATTAAGTTCAAAAAAAAACAATGTAATTAAATTTTGACCATTTCTATAAGTGACTTCATATTTTTCAATGCACTATATCAAATGAACGAGAAAAAAAAATCCACTCGAATTTTACATAATCGATTACAAAACTCTTGTTTTCTTTTACACGAACATTGTTTGTGGAACATATTTCTTGACAATCATTTTTCAATTTATAAACATAAAATTTTTACACACTTAAATCATTATTACATTTTTTTTTTTAAATAAAACTTGTCGCAGTCATAACCATAACTAAATTCTCTCATTAGAAGGAATATAAGTAGTGTTTTTTTTAATTTATTCTATTCAAAAAAATAATTTTAACAAATATTTGAATTTATTTCTTATTAAATACTAATATTAATCATAATAGATATTTGTTTTTAAACTTACCATCGAGTTGAAATATATTCAGTAAATGGTTGTTTTGATAATGTTTGTCGACAAGATCCAAAATCAGCTAATTTTAACATATCATCTTTTATAAGAATATTTTCTGGTTTAACCTATTATTTAATATTGATTTAAATAAATCTATTTTATATTTTGTTAATGTTTTTTATAGCTTACATCTCGATGAAAGAATGCGTGTCTAAACAAAGAACGGAAATTTTATTTTTACATAACATTGTACAATAATAGCTATGAGTCTTGCTGCTAGGTAAAAAAAACAAACTACTTAAATTTGAATCGTTTTTGCTTGATGTTTTTACAATAAAAAAGAATTTTGTAAAATCTAGTTGCAAGTTCGATTGATCTTAATATATTGAATTTTAACAAATACTGTTGCTTCTTTTGGGCGTCAAAAGAAGACTTTTTTTTATGCTTCTGCCTGTCTATTGTTTTGCAGCATTATGATTCTTCTTTTTTTTTTGTTGACAAACAAAACCTCACATGTCTTTACTATGGTACATATAGAAGGTTTCGATCTGCTATCACGTATTGGCAATAGGGACAATATTGAGCTGTCGTTTCAAATGAAAATTAATTGTTGTTTGTATAGTTTTTATCTAGTAGCGAAATTCTTAACAAATATTAATAGATGTTGTTGTTGTTTTTTTTGTATATGAAATACCTGTGAATAAATTCAAGAGCTTTGAGCAATTGATACATGAATTTGCATACAATTTCATTTGATAATAATCGTTGTCGACCACGAATATATTCATATAAATTCATACTCATTAATTCAAATATTAAACATAGAATACCAGTTCGTTTATCACTTAAGAATTATATTAATTAAGATCTAATTATTAAAAAAAAAGAAAAACTACACTTACAAGATAATTTCACGAAGAAAAATTATATTTGGATGACCATTAAGTTGTTTGAGCACACGTATTTCACGTATTTGATGAATTTCATCCATACTAAAAATTTGAATAAATTTTGAAAAAATATAAAGAAAACTTTTTCATTAAATTTTATAGAATTAGAATGATTATATATTATACTAAATAAATCATTTCTATTGATAATAATAAAAATCCGAATAGTGATTTTTATTTTCGAAGACGAACATGATAACTAGTTTTTCGATGAACTCTTATGAAAGTCACTTTTATTGAGTATAAAAACATCATTTTTGTGCTTTTTCGTATGATTCTTATATCTCCATCAAAAACTGACGTAGAAAACTAGAAGACATCGCAGAACTCTATTTTCAAATTCCAGGGGCTGAAAAACTTAGTTTTAGATTTTTTTAGAAATACTATACATACAAATCTATTAATCATTTTCATTTTCAATGACAAAATTCTCTACAAATTACTATTTCAATATTTATTAGTAGTAACGACAGTAGAAAAAAATTGAAAATAAACCTAAATAAATAGTTTTGAGTATATATAATTAGAAATAAATTTTTTGTTGTCATCTATTTCAGATCAATATAACCTTGTTTCTCGACTATTATGTTTTATTTGCGTGTTATTTACATAAATAAATACATGATCATAGACTACAGAAAGACTCTTGAGACATGCCAATCCATGTAAAATATAGTATTTTTCCTTAGGCGTAGGTGTTACTTAAAAAAAATTATAGACTATTTATGTTAATTATTTTTCTATTTGTCTTTTATTAATTATGAATATACATATATATTTATTGAATAAATTTTTGAAATAGAAAACAAATTCAAGCTAAAAAAAGAAAAAAATAAAAAGTGATTTTTATAAATTTTCTTACCTTTTATATAATTGTTTCATTTTTTTTGCTGCCCAAAATGTTCCATCACGTACATTTTGACATTTTAATACTTCAGAAAAAGTACCTTCACCTTTTTTTCCAAGTACTCGATATTCTAATATAATAAATAAAACATGAAATAAATTTTCTTTTTTAATTTATTTTTATCGTCTTACTTTCCATTGTAATAAATCAATAATAATCACCGGTAATTAATAAAAGTAAAACATCCGACTAAAATATTTCTATACATGATCTAAAAGAAGAAGAATAAAAAAAAAAAAATAACTTTTCAGAAAAACAACAAATGATTCTTTTCGATCTGTCTGTTTTCATTGTTAATGTTACACTGCGCTTGAAGTAGTATAAATGCCGCATTCGCGTCTATCGTATGTTTTCTTTGTCAATCAAGATACAAAAAAAAGCAAAAAACTTCTTTTTTTTTATTACAACATAGAAAAAACATATTCGAGAACACATTACTTATATAAACATAATAAGAAATTGTTTTCCATTAAATTGAAATACATATAAATAATTAAATAATATATTAAACGTTGATTTCAATTTTACTTTAAGTCTCTTTACTTTTTTTCGTTTTTAAGTAGACTGTCAAAAAGGATTTGAACAACTTAAAAGTATTTAACGACTTACAAGAAAAGAGAGAAAAGAAAGAAAGAGAAAGAGACAGAGAGAAAGAGAGAAACACTCATAAAGTTTTGTAGTATTTGTTCATTCTTTGTTTTTTTCAATCATATATTCTGTTATTACCTTAGTAACGACAGTTCTCTTTATAGATTTTAATATAATGCATAGATGTCATGTGTTTTTTTATATGCATGAGGGTTGTTGCTCTAGTTAGAATCATTTTCATGGTATTTGATATCAAATATTAAAAAAATAATATTTTATAAAAAAAAAAAAAGCGAAATTATGTCACGACGAAATCAAATTAATGAAAGAAATAATGATGATGATGATAATAATAATAAAAGGTAAAATTTTTTGTTTTTATTAATTTTATAATAAATTAATTTTTGTTTTTTCTATATTATTTAGACATGATGAAGATTTTTTTGGTGGACATAAAAAACAAGAAACAGATCTAGGGTGAATTGAATATAAATATATGTTATAGATAAAATTCATTTTTATTAAATAAACAACATTTACTTTATTGTTTTTTTAATTAACTAAGCAAAAAATCTACTGTAACTTTTTCCGGTTGTATTAAAGAAATTCTGATAAAGAGATCTCGATTGATCTATTATGCTCTTTTTGAAAATTTTTGTCGAAAAGTATCTCTAGAAAATAGATGTTCCCTTTTGCCTAACATAACGAATAAGACTGAACTTTTACAAATTTCGTTAAGAACTGAGGTTCTTGAAACATCTTTTTTTTTTTTTTTAGAAATAAAGAGGTGCATTTTATGCATATGAAAATGAAGGAATCACGAAAATGTCATTGTGTTTTTTATCAAGATTTTTATTGTTAGTAGATGCCTTACAGAAAACTAATTATCAAGATATCATTTCTTAGAGAAATGTTTGTTCTTTCTTTTGATGTATTGGAAATAAATTCTATTTTTATCCTATACTTTTTTATGCTCTGAAACCCATTCAAATTTTATTTTCACGCCCTCCATAGATTTACTTAAAACTCTAAAAATATAAAGTCTAATAATAGATTTTGAATCTAGATTCAATATGAGCATAAAAATTTTGTTTTTAAATCGGAATATTTTTTCTCAAAACTTTCGATCTATCGACATGAGAAAACTGTGTTCAAAAGAATTTTCATGAGCAAACAAATCAACAAATGAAATTTTTGAATATTAAATTTCAACAAAAAAAAAATAATAATCATTCTTTTTTTGGGGGGGTACTTCCTAAATTCATTAGAGAACGTGTCACAACTGACTAATCATTTTATCACTGAAACATATTCGGAATCACAGCATAGTCTTAATTTGTGATAGGTATTTATGTGTATTTTTTCACTGAATTATTTGTATAGTGGTGTTGGTGGTAAATCATTATGGGATGCTGCTAAAGATATTGTTACAAGTCGAGAAAAAGGTAAATATTTTTCAAGTAATATCATTATATATTTTTTTTGTCTTTCTTTAGCTGAAACATTACCAACTGAATCAAATACGGTTCTTTTTGTTGGAAGTCGAACTGGAGTAAAATAAAATAAATTCAAATTATTTCTAATATAATTCTTATTTAGGGTAAAACAACAATGATTCTACGATATTTAGAAAGGTTTGTTCATTGATCTTGTTTTAAGAAAATATTTTAAGAATTGATGAGACAAATCTTTCAATTGATAAATCATTTTTGAATTAATACTATGTCTATTATGTAGATCCCAATGAGTGACGAATACCCTAACAAGAATTCTTGTTCTTAACTTATTGTTATGGCGAAACTGAAGTTTTACGATACTTTTTAATTAAATGCCATGGTAACAAAATAAACTGATTTTTCGAATCTCGACTTGAAATTTTGCATAGAAACAGATCTTAACAAGAATAGTTTTTTTTTGTGAATGTTTCAGATCTTATCGATATTCTTGTTTCAAGATAGAAACAAGTCGATACTCGGAAATCAGTTGTTCTATTACCATAACATTCATTTTAAGAAATATCATAAAAGTTCGATATCTTAGTTTTAAGTCAAACAATTCTTTTTCTTCGTAGTTTCGATCAATCAAGAAATGATCTCAGCATTAAATAAGCTTTTTATTTAGATCTTGAATTTTGTTTACTATGAAAAAGTTAGTGGAAAAATGAAATCTTTCTTTTTTTAGAACAAACGAAGCAGCTAAACCAACAATAGCACTTGACTATAATTATGCCAAAAAACCTAAAACGATTGATACAGTAAATAATATTCATTTCTCTTTTTTTTTTTTTTTTTTTCTTAACTTTATTTAAATAGATAGGAAAAGATGTTGGTCATATATGGGAATTAGGTGATGGTACTTTTCTTACTAAATTAATTGATGTTGTTCTTACACCAGAAACAATTGGGTATGTATTTTATTTCATAATAAATTAAGAAGTAATTCTTTTTAAAAAAAACATTTTAGAAATGCATCTGTTGTACTTGTACTTGATCTATCTCAACCACAAGAATTATGGCATACATATCAAATATTATATGAAGCAATAGCTAAAAGAGTTAAATATTGTATTAGTGAAGCAGCAAAACAAAATCCACATATAAAAGATAAACTTAAAGAAGCAATTCTTAAACGTCTTGGTAATGCAGTTCGTTTAGTAAGAAATTACAAAATGATAAGAAAATTTAATTTATTAAAATTTTTATTTTAGGATAAAGGTGAAATTGAACCACTTCGTATTCCACTATTAATTATTGGATCAAAATATGATCAATTTCAAGTAATTAAAATTAAATTAAATCTTACAATATAAAATTTGCAACTATCGAATATCGATTGTACGATTTATAAGAGATAATATCATCAATTGTCAAATTATTTTTCATTTGAAATTATTATCCTTTGATTAGTCTTGATGCGTACTAAACAAGTCTATTTCAGTTTAGTTTTCTAGTCTTCTCATATCAAATTGTAGGGATTTTATTTGATTATTGTCCTATGAGTATAGAGTCTCTGAGAATGGTAAATGATCTAAGTTGGAGTAAAATTTTGTGTATAGAGAAAGCTTATAGCCACTAGAAAAACTTGGTGTTTCTTTCAAATGAAAATATCTTCGCAAGGATATGTTCGCCCTAGCTCGAAACTTTGATTATGTATGTGCTTAGTGATTCAATGCTCATAATTCATCAAGACTAATAATATCACATAAAACATGATTTCATAGTTGATGGTGCTCTCTCACTAGCGACATTAAAGGAAATCTCAAAGAAAATGTAAACATACACTTCATTTATACAAACAAAGTGCATGTTTACATTTACTTTGCATCAGTAAAAAATCAAATAAATGTTTAGAAAACGAATAAGCAGTAAATACGATTTCTGTATCTTCTATTTATTTGAGCAGCGTATAAATAATAATGTGTATATAGTTCACTTCCGTTCGATATTCCCATTATTGCTAACAGTGAATAGAAAACCAAAAGAATTTGTGTCGGTGCCTTGTTCTTTTGCAGTTATGATCATTTTATTAAATCTTGACCTCAGAATATCGACTAGTCTCATCGAATCCTACATATGAACGAACAATCGATGTTCGACAGTTATGAATGTTCTTTTTTTTGTTTCAATAGACTTTAGAACCTGATGAAAAAAAATCTATTATAAAAACACTTCGTTTTCTTACTTATTATCATGGTGCGACATTAATGGTATTCTTTTTTCTAGCAAATTTTATATATTTTTTATTAAAATAATTTATTTTTGTAGTCTTATAGTGAAAAACAAGAAAGTGTACATTTAAGAGCAATAATTAATCATTTCTTATTTGATACTGCATTATCAAAGTAAAAACACAACAGAGAAAAAAAAATAATGAAATAAATATATCTATTTTGTTTATATATTAGTAAACAACCACAAATTGATTATCAAAAACCATTATATGTTAAATCAGGTAGTGAAACACCTGAACAAATTGGTCCACCACCTATTCCTGAATATGAACTTGGTGATGTACGAGAAAAGTACGAAAGATATTTATTTATTTGTCTAATAAAGAAAACCATTTGAATTAACAAGTGCCATTTAGAATTTCGATCTAAAATTTTTCCCATGGATAGATTAAATGATCTTTAGAATATTCTTTGGTTAAGATATCAAGTAAACTCTAGTTCTATAGCAAAGGATTATTTTTTAGAAATTCAAAATCTTCACTATTAAATAGAATAGACTTTTTGTACTAAATGAAATGAAAAGAATGCATACTTTATTGAGTAAAATCAGAGAATTTATACAACACGAAGAAAAAGAAAAATTTAGAATTCTCTTTTTCTTTGTTGAAAGATGTATCTAAAAAAATCTTCTTAAATTAATGAAGACGAACTGATATATTGACATAAGATAAAATTGAAGAAGAACAGGACGATTAAGGAATAATGCTTACTCATTTATGATGTCATATCTACTCTAAAGTGCTATTCTTTTCAGTCAAAACTTTCACATTATTCAATGGATCATTCAACCAGATCTTTGCTATCAGGATAATGTCTTTTTTTTAAACCCTTAATAATAGAATTCCATACATTATATGACTAACAAGGAAACCTTTCCAAGTGTTAATCGCCGATAGATCTCATTTGTACAAAAGTAAGACTCGATGAGACTGGCAGAAGCCCGAAATAATTCGTCTCCATACGCTGTCCTTCCGAAGTTACGACTGTTTTACACGTTTTTCGTCCCCTGGCAATGGTATTAATAGACAAAAGTCCAACAATGGAATTTTGTCTATAAACAGGTCTCGTGGACACTAGAATGTCCTAAAAGTTTCAGCTAAAATGAAGGTTTCTTTCTCAAGATATTGAGTTTTCAAGAAGCTCGCTATTTTGACCTTTGTCTTTGAAATATGATGGTTCCTTGAAAATTCAATATTTTGAGAAAGAAACCTTCATTTTAGCTGAAACTTTTAGGACACTCTAGTGATCATGAGATTTGTTTATGGACAAAATTCCATTGTTGGGCTTCCCTATACATACCATTGCCAGAGGTCGAAAAACCAGTAAAACGGTCGTAACTCTAGAAGGACAGCGTACGGAGACGAATCCTCCCGGGCGTCTGCTAGTTCCATTGAGTCTTACTTATAGGCAAAATATGAGCTCGACCGGTGATTAACACTTGAAGAGGTTTCCTCGTAAGGCGTAACCATGTACATCACTAATGAACACAGCTCGTTTTTAAGCTTTCTTTAATCATACCAAGACTTTCTCGTAAGTCGAATAGTCGGTATCAGTTCGGCTGTTTCTCTCGTAAGATTTAATTGAATTCGATTTTATCTATTTTAGTTCACCAATAGCTCTTTGGAGAGCTGCATATTGTAAACGATTTCCACAAGAAGTAAATAAAAGCAAAACAAAAATAAATAAATATTATCTGTAATATTTTTATTTCTATAAGGTTGAAAAACGTGATCCATCATCAACACAAGATTATGGTCGTGATCCTCAATATGCTGATGCATCAATTGATGCTATGCGAGAACAAAAAATGGCTGTAAATAATTTAATATTTGTTTTCATTTAAAATAAAATGATTGTTTATTTTATTTTAGGAATTACAACGTTATCTAACAATGAAAAATCGTTCACATTCTTAACTAAGGTTTTTATTTTTTTTTTTGTATTATATCCTAAAATAAAAAATAAAGAATGTCTTTTTTTTTTGTTTTTATTTCTGTTCGTATTTAACTATTATTTGTTTGAAATGTACGCATAAAATTAAGTAATTTATTTGTTTCTTCTAAAGTAACACCATTATAAAGACTTATACGAATACCACCAACAGCACGATGACCTTTTAATTCAATCATATTTGATTGAATTGCTTCTTTAAGAAATAATGTTTCAAGTTTTTCATTTGGAATACCATTAGTAATAATACGTAATGGAATATTAGTACGACTACGATATTTTTTATCAATAGAATTAACATAAAAACCATTAGATTGTTCAAGTGTTTCATAAACAGCAGATGATTTTTTATTTGATAATTCATTCATAGCTTTTAAACCACCTTGTCGTTTAATCCAATCAAACATTTTATTTGCAATATAAATTCTAAATAAAGAATAATTGAATATTTCAATAAAACATATTTTATTTCTTACGAAAATGTTGGTGGTGTATTATACATTGATCCATTTTCAATATGTATTTTATACTCTAATATAAGTGGTATTGATTTATTAACAGTTTTTTCAACGAAATCTTTTCGTAGAATAACAAGTGTAAGACCACTTATACCAAAATTTTTTTGAGCACTAGCAAAAATAACAGCATACTTAAAAAACAAAAATCATATATGATTAAATATTATATTGAGCTTTTCTTTTTATCTTACTTTTGTAACATCAAAAGATCGTGTTAAAAAATTTGATGACATATCACAAACAATTGGAACATCTTTTGGTACAATAGTTGGAATATCATCTAATTCAATACCATGAATTGTTTCATTAGCACAATAATAAAAATATGAAGCATCATCTGTTAATTTCCATGTATCTTCAGATGGGACATCTATGTAATAAAATTATAATGATCTATTATAAAAAAAAAAAAATTATTTTATTTTTCTTATCTTTACCTTGATATTTGCTTCTTTTAGGTACAACTAAGTTAATTTTACCAAATTTTTCAGCTTCTTTAGCTGCTTTTTCTGACCAATAACCTGTAACAAGATAATCAGCTGTTTGTGATGATCGTAAATTAAGAAAATGCATTGGAACAGCACTAAATTGAGCTGTAGCACCACCTTGTAAAAACAGAACTGCATAAGAATCTGGTATTGATCTAAAAATAAAAACAAAAAAAAAAATTTCGAATAATATAACAAAGAAATAATAAATTTAAATAAATATCTTACAAAATATCACGAATATCTCGTTCAGCATCTTCAATAACTTTAGCAAAAGTTGTTGATCGATGACTAAGTTCTATATCAAAATTTCAATGAAATATTTTAAAAAATAAAATTCTATTTTCGATACCCATAACACTAGCACCAGATCCATTATAATCTAAAAATTCTGCTTGAACACTTTCTAATACCTTGTAAATTCAAAAATACATTGAAGAATAATTTCAAAAATTATTATTCTACTTCAAGTGGTAATTGAGCTGGTCCTGCTCCAAAATTAAGTTTACGCACAACATGTCCATTTGTATAACTGTTGTTAGTCGTCATTGATCTATAGAATCAAATGTAATAATAATACGTGTATTATTCTTCTTCCTTTTTTTTTATATTTTATTCAAGGTTAAGTGTATCATAGTAAACATGCATTCACTGCGTGTCCTTGTTTTCTTTGTCTAACCTCGACTAGTTATGATATGTAATATTGCGGTCTCTATCACATCTCAACGAAACGACTATTAAAAGTAATTATCTTGATTCTTTTCTTTTTTTTCGGTACATTTCATAAATGCACCAGCTGTAAATATTTCGATGTCATTTTGTATGACTATCAAGTGACAATGAGTATACGAAAAGAGATATGAATATTAAAAATTATTTCTATTAAAAAAGATAAGATAGAAAAAAAATTCTTTTTTTTTTGGGCTTGCAATCGATTGAGGCTAAAATACGAATACTATCCAAAGAATTGCTATTTAGTATTTTCACACATAGAAAAGTAGAGCTAAAGAGATGTTTGCTCATTTTAAACCCTCTTGAAAGGACGAAAGAAAACCTATCGGTGATGATCAAAACTTTATGCTTTTTTTGAATATATGTTCAAAAATTCTGTATATATGTATCATTATACGAGACAATCGATGAAATCATTGAAAGGACTTAAAAGAAATAGTTTGAACGAAATCGCTGGTCCGACATTATATATTTTATTAATTTTTAGTCTCCTTAACACTATTCTAGTTGAGATAGAAGTCATTCAATAGTATCAAAATTTTACATTCTTTCCAAAGCTACTCATATGGAAAATATTCGATTAATTATTACGATAAATCGCACATAGAAACAGAAAAATTCTGCATTACCTGCAAAGAATCCTAATTTCTCGTTTTTTATAAAATGAAATTATTCGATAATCTAGTTCAACTTATAAGTTCTATTTGTATTTATTCAGTAACGAAATGAACAGAAAAAAATAAAACGAAAATAGATGTCACCTCAAAGATATATGTTTAGAAATTATTCTTCATACAATTCTCAGATGATGTCTTAGATAATAAAAACTTACTAGTCAAAATGATATTTATTTCAATGTATCTTACGTTCTAAATGGATAAGAGCTCGTTTCAGAAGAATTGATTCATCGCTAATGACCAATGAAACAATTGGAAAGAAGCCCTAAGTTAGGACATTTATTTTCATGCCGTATTTATAATTTTGCCTCGACTAGCAAAAATAATTCAATATTAATATTGAATTAAATATATATGTATCTATACTTATAGATATAATGCATCAATCAAAACCAAGAAATGGCCACTATAATGTAGTCAAAGTGCATAAATCTAGCACATATTCACGAAACAAAATGTCGCTTTTGTCTCTCTCTTTAATAATTAATGACAGACTAATGAAATTTGGTAACTAAAGTATTTATTCTATAGCGCATTATATTGAAAATACCAATTTATTGAATCACATTCATCAATTAAATTAGTAGATCAAATTCTTTTTCGATTGTTGTTTTAAATCTAAATTAACTTTTCTAGTGTAGAACAAGACCTATATGTTTCATATTGACTCAACATGCCGAGGTTATTTGATGATGATGAAACTATAAAAAATAAAAAATTACCCGATAAACATCGACGATTTCACGAAAATTATTTTCTACATAATATATTTCTTTACAAAATATGATGACGAAGTAAAATGCAGCTCGTACACAAGGGAAATTATGCACATATTCTCCGAAGATATTTCAAAACTGACGATGAACATTTTTGATACTTTTATCGGAAAATATAATAGTGTTTTCAAAAATTTTTTGTTTTCACTACTTACCAACAAAAATCAATACGAAAAATTTCTGAATTTATTTTAATATCGTTATTTATTACTTAACATTTGTCTACAAATACTTTATCTGAAAACTTCTATTACATTTGTTATTATTTCTATCGAAGATAAATATTTGTTTTTTTTTTTGCATCTATTTAGGATTCTTATCCATAGAAAATAATTTAATGTCTTATGAGAATTTCATCATGTGTACATAAATTTTAGAACTAAAAATATTATTTTCAAAAACAAACTAAATTGAATTATGCATCCAACCATAATTTATGTATAATTTATTCCTTTTCTTTTTTTTTGTATCCATCTTGAATCGTTCATGCGTACAAGGATTAGAAACATTTGTTATATTTTAATGTTATTCAAAGATCGATCAGTTCTCATCGATAGCTGCGAATGTTTTCAAATCATTAACATACGTTGATAGTTGGTAGTAATTTCCAAATCAACATATATATTAGTCAGTTCCTTCATTTGCTATTCAAGCAGCTACCTTGTAGTTTACATTTTAATTCCATAGAGTTTATATTAATAAATCTTCTTTTGTTGCAAATATATACAATTGAAATAATAATCAATTTTTGAAAAGGTTCAAATTCATTGTCTTTTCATTTGAGTATTAAGGGAAGATCGAAACAAATTTCAAATAGTTACTAACTTTTCGTTAATTGATAATTTTTTGACAAAAATAATCTATGAAAAATAATAGACAACATTAATTTTGTGATTTCCTTGTATGCATAGTTAAAAATCGTCACTATTTAGAGATACGAAACGAGAAATATACTAATATTTTCTCGATTACCATGACACCGATTATTTGTTTCATTAGAAGGACAATATTCTTGTGATCTTACCCTCAAGACAGTGAATTTTTGATTTCTACGCTTTTTTTCAGATTGATAGAATTCAAAAAAACCGATGAGAACAAGTGTTCATGTCTCATCTATGAAATCATAATAATTCTATATTCCTTTACATTTAACAATCATCATTCGCATCAATTTAACCTTTTATCAAATCATATCTTTCTATGCAAATATATGATATACATTTGTTCTTGTACTTTAAAATTTTTTTTTCTCTTTCTCTCATCATAAGTCCAACGAAAAAACAAAACCAAAGAGACACCGAATATAAAAATTGTACCAAAAAAAAAAGAAATACAATCCATAAACAACAAAAACGTACACACACACACATATATATATATAGACAAAACATAATGATTAAATAAATGTCTGATGTATATCATTATTTGAAAGAGTTGCTGTTGTTATTGTTCGTGTTTTTAATTGTTGAATAGTTGTACTTAAATGTGGATATGAATGTATTTGTTTTTGATAATCAAATCGTACTTGTTTTGGTGATGGTTGACTATTTGATGATATTGTTCGTTTTCCATTAATAGATTTATTTAATATAGTTTCATTTGTTTCTAATATTTGACATGAATTAAAATCATTAAATGTTGATGAATTTGAAGTTTGTTTTGATGTCATTGTTATATCTTTATATAACCAATCTGGATAAAGAATTTTTTCAATTGACCATTCTGTATTATTATTATTATTATTAATTGTTAGTCGTTGTTCATCAGGCAATTCA